GAATGGATCACTCAGTAATTGCCCTGTTCTGTTCATTCCCTCTAAAGCACTGGCCACTGTCAGAAAACAGGATATTGGGCTAGATGGACCATTGGTCTGATCCAGTATAGCCGTTCTTATGATCTTATTTCTTAGCCCAATTTTATTTAAATAATATACAGATGAATAAACACAATGGCATCCAAGATAGATATGTCAGGTGAGGTAAACATTCTAAAAAAGAATGAACCCTTGGAGCCATGCCCTCCAAATACCATTACCTGTAACTGTCACAATGATTGTTTCACCCGATGTAACCAAGAAAGGAGCCTTTGATGGCTTCTGAATAGCAAAACACCTACTGCCAGTTAGTGTGAAGTAACAGGGGGATTTAATAAATACGATGCACCAGAAAGCTGCATTTCATAGCTGTGATACTGAGGCCATTACTTATATTTTTAAAATGTGAGGGAAAATCCTATTGGATATTTTACAGCATTTTATCCAGTAGGTTGGCATAATGTGAATGAAATGGATGCTCAGTGGCTGAGACATCAGACGTCAAAACATTGAGCTGTTCATAAGTATCTGAAGCTAAAATTGCAATAGCAAAAATCATCTACAAAAAGCTGATTTGATAAAAATAGAAGTGCACTGCAGAGGGGTATTCTGTGTCTGATTTTTTTGAAAAAAATCTGTTAAAATGTGATACTATTCAAGCTTATAGAATACAACACAAGAAACATCAAGTCTGTGCATCCATTTCAAGGGTGCTATGACTTCAGAAACCACTTGAGCTTTGTTTTCCCCCTATATTTAGCATAATCAGAACTCCTTCATGTGTACATCTCAGCCACCTGCTTTTTAACTGTGGGTTGCTTGGAACCTGCCCCCTAAAGGGCTCCTGGAACTTTACTGGGGAGTCACAGGCTTACCTCACTTTTGCATTGTACTTTCCTTGCTCCTATTTTTTGTTTTGAGCTATCAACATTTTGTATTGCTCTGAACCAGTTCCTAAGTGCAGTCACCCTGACCCTTCATGTAAGACTTCTTTCTTCCTTCCCTTTGGCTGGATTCACTCAGAACTACCGCTTACAAAAAAGAGGGAGGGATGGAGAACAATAGCAATAAGCTCCTTTCCTTTGAGGTTTGTAGATGCAGCACCTGGTTTCTGATTCCAAGTTCCATTATACAAGGGCTCATCTAAAAACTGTTGGTTTATGGAGCCCTGATTCAAGTCTATAACCTGCTATGCAGAATGATGAGGGAATGAGAGGGAGATTTGAGAAATGACTGAGTCTGTATTAATGGAGATCCAGGTCCAAATTCATCAATTATAGCTGACTGGTCCATAACAGAGGGCTCCAGAGGGGCAAAAACTCCACTCTATCTAGGTCAGGGGTAGGCAACCTATGGCACGCGTGCGAAAGGCGGCACATGAGCTGATCTTCAGTGGCACTCACACTGCCCGGGTCCTGGCCACTGGTCCAGGGGCCTCTGCATTTTAATTTAATTTTAAATGAAGCTTCTTAAACATTTTAAAAACCTTGTTTACTTTACATACAACAATAGTTTAGTTATATATTATAGACTTATAGAAAGAGACCTTCTAAAAATGTTAAAATGTATTACTGGCACACAAAACCTTAAATTAGAGTGAATAAATGAAGACTCGGCACACCACTTCTGAAAGGTTGCTGAACCCTGATCTAGGTACTTATGTGGTCCTCATCATAATATCTGATACTGCAGAAGCAGAGTAGATGGCAGGCAGGTAGGCTGAAGGACTGCAACACTAGTCCACTGGGATTCGGATCATAACATGCCCCAAAACTGAACCCATATGTTGTGAGGGAGAGATCAAAGTACCTGGAGGATTCAGCGCCTGAGGAATCCCTGTCGCACACCCTGGTGTAAATCACTGGGGAAGGCAGAGGTGAAATACCTTCTGCTCTTCCCCTGGAATAAATGCCCCCTTGGCACAATAACCATCACTGGTGCAGGAAGATACAGTTTTCACCTTCTTGTGCTAGCTGGAGCACATTTATTCCCAAGTGTCCAGCTACTGTGAAGCTTAAAAAGATAATGGATTTGTCATGCTATTGCTAAAATGGAAACAACTCTAGAAGAATTAAAATGATGGGCAATTTACCTCTACTCTTGCCACAACTCACTATACCATTTATGCATTGTGACAGACCCAGACCAGTGGAGTACAGGAGTCTGGTAGAGGGCAAATATACTGGTCACTGGATTAGTAGTTTTCTGTTCCCTGAGTGACCAGACCAGGGGCTGCACTAGAGTAATCAGGAACCTGCTAGAACCAGTTCAGGAAGGCAGGCTAATTAGAACACCTGGAGCCAATTAAGAAGAAGCTGCTAGAATCAATTAAGGCAGGCTAATCAGGGCACCTGGGTTTTAAAAGGAGCTCACTTCAGTTTGTGGTGTGAATGTGAGGCGCTGGGAGCAAGAGGCGCAAGGAGCTGAGAGTCAGAGGGTGTGCTGTTGGAGGACTGAGGAGCACAAGCGTTATCAGACACCAGGAGGAAGGTCCTATGGTGAGAATAAGGAAGGTGTTTGGAGGAGGTCATGGGGAAGTAGCCCAGAGAGTTGTAGCTGTCATGCAGCTGTTACAGGAAGCACTATAGACAGCTGCAGTCCACAGGGCCCTGGGCTGGAACCCAGAGTAGAGGGCGGGTTCCCCCCAAACCTCCCAATTGACCTGGACTGTGGGTTCTTCCAGAGGGGAAGGTCTCTGCGCTGTTCCCCAACTCACATGGTGAATCTTTGAGGCAAAAGAATCCGCCAATAAGCGCAGCACCCACCAAGATAGAGGAGGAACTTTGTCACATTGGTGTCAGAAGTGGGATCTTCAGGTGCACAGCGCGGCGGAAGAAGGAGGGTGATTTAAAAAAAAAACAAAAAAACAATAAAACAAAAACAAAAACAAAAAAAAGGGGAGAGGGTTTATTTTTTTTCACCACGATGGATGACGTAGTGCGAGCACTGATACAAGCTACAGCGGCCCAGCAGGAGTTACCCGTGTCCAGGCAGAAGGAAGTGTGGCTGCAGCAAGAGACTAATCGCCTGCTGATGGACCAGGCTGCTCAAGACCGAGCTATATTGCGAGAACTGGTAAACCAGGTAAAGTCCCTTACAGAGCTGAATTACGGCCATGATGGGACGCGGCTCATACGGGCCAGCCATTGGCTGCAGAAAATGACATGGGAGGATGATGTAGAGTCATACCTTCTGGCCTTTGAGAGGACAGCCCTATGGGAGGCCTGGCCTCGAGATCAGTGGTCTGGCATTCCTGTGTGGGGAGGCCCAGAAGGACTACCATGATCTGCCTGAAGAGGCTGCGGCAGACTACCCCCAGCTGAAAGCAGAGATCCTGGCCAGATCTGGGGTAACGAGAGCAGTGCGGGCCCAGCAGTATCACGGTTGGAGGTACCAGGAAGACAAAACCCCGCAGTCCCAATTGTATGACCTCATCCATCTCGCACGAAAGTGGTTGCAAACAGAGTCCTGGAGTCCGGAAGAGATACTAGCGGTTCTGGTAATCGACCGATACATGAGGGGACCGCCACCAGACCTTCATGCCTGGGTTAGCCAGAACGAACCCTCCACCTATGACGAGGTTGTCGCCCTGGTAGAGAGGCGAAGGACAGCGAGGGAGCTGACCCGACCAGTTAAGGAAGAGGCACCCCGGGTTAAACTAGCAGCACCAAGCCCTAAAGTTTGGGTGACTGGGCCACCAAGAGGGCCCAGGTGGAAAAAGAGAGAGGCTGAAGGCCCATCAGAGGCCACAAAGAGTCGGAGTACTGAGGGAGAAGAGGATCATGATGTTAGACTGCCCAAACCAAGAGACCGGGGAACGCCTAGGGCTCCATACAGATGTTATGCCTGCGGGGAGTGGGGACACATAGCTGCTCAGTGTCCCAATGCTGAGGAGCCTATGCAGTGTAACCTGGGGAACTGGGCAGAACAGATTTATCACGTTAACCTTCTGAAACCCTGGCATGCACAACAGGCATGCACAACGGTCCAAAAAGACCTAAACCAGGAAAACAAGCCTCCAAACAGGTGAGAGTGTCTCCCGATTTAACACCAGACCAGAAGAATGAGGTGTCTGAGATGATCTTCCAGAACCAAGATGTGTTCTCGACAAATCCGGGTCGAACAACCGAGACATATCGCCACATCGTCACGAACCCTGGGGCCAGAGTAACAATGAGGCCCTATCGAGTGCCAGCGGCAAAAAGGGAGGAAATAAAAGGAGAAGATTGGGCTGGACCACTGACTGTGGGATTCTTCGATGATCCCCAACTCCAGCATTATTTTTACTTCTCCTAATTGGCTGGGGGTAGGAATGATGTGCGGGAGGGCAAAAGATAATGGTAGCTATGGTTTATGTGACACACATGAAAGGGTTAATTAGTATAATTGCAAGCGGCTAGTAACAGTGTCACATCCCAAAGATATGCTTGATCCAACTGATTTCAATGGAAGCACCTCAGAGAATTGGGTGGGACATGAACATTCAATGAGAGTTTATTCCAGTGATACAAAATGCACCTGTATTACTTTGTGGAATTCTACCACTGCTGTTTGTCTATGATAGAAGGAGGCAGACTGGAGTGGATAGCAGCAGCATGCACATCCACAAAAGGTAGGGGGTCTCATCAAGAACTGTAGCAAAGGAAAGAGATCAGATTGCACTGTATCGTGTGTGTTGGGATAACAGTTAAAGACCTGCAGGCTTGTCCTTTGGCAGAGAGAGGATGGAGGGAGAGTGGTCACAACATTAATTACATTTTTAATATGGATGCATGGACTGGAAATATTCAAGAACCACTGGGTATAGTATACATATACCTTATATTTAGACATGCAGTTCAGTACACACATAGGCAAATACTTAGACTACAATCCCTTTCACACATGGGTTATAAATTGTTAATTTCCTCCATTAATCCAGTACTTTTTGAAAACATAGAAAGAACAGTTGAGTGACTTACCTCAGCTGTACATACTTTGCATCTTGCTCTATCTTGATTATCAGAACTCTAAGAGAAAAACAATCATTTAGTAAGAAAACTGATTAAAATTATATTGACCAGGAAAATAAATATAAAACATATTAGCATCACCTCCCTGGCAGCATTAAAGAACAACAGGGCCAAATCGATTATGAAAAGTGAATGCTTTGTTACTCCAGAATCTGGTTCACATTTGATAATTTGCACCTTTCTTGCATTTATCATTTTTATTTTATGCAAACACTCTTAAATACTCCTCAAGTCAATAAGGCACAAAAAGATAAGCCTGAAACTCACTATGGACAATCAGCTTAAACTGGGGCTCAAGATCGTGGAGCCCCTCTGAGCCTTTAGAAATAATCAAGGTTTATGGTGTTTAACCATCATTCTCAGGAGAAAATATATATTATGCAGCTTTGGTGAGATAAAGCCCTCAAAAAAGCATCATGTATTTTTGTAGTACTCAATAGGACTTTGGAGGGAAAAATTATTATCCTTCACAAACAATGGTTTTAGAAACCCCCATCATGAACCCAAGATGTACACATAGAACAAAGCCCAGACATGTCAGCCCACTCAAGTGTAAAACCTGCTTACAGTTTGATCATCAATGGAGCAGGTTAACATGTTAGAAAATACTGTTCAAGGCCACTGCCTCTCTCACTAAAACTGAAACTGGGTACAAAAAGGCAATGCATTGTACGTCATCTGGTCAGGAGTAGAATCATAGAATCAGAGAATATGAGGGTTGGAAGGGACCTCAGGAGATCATCTAGTCCAACACCCTGCTCAAAGCAGGACCAATTCCCAACTAAATCATCCCAGCCAGGGCTTTGTCAAGCCAGGCCTTAAAAACCTCCAAGGAAGGAGACTCTACCACCTCCCTAGGTAATGCATTCCAGTGCTTCACCACCCTCCTAGTGATATAGTGTTTCCTAATATCCAACCTAGACCTCCCCCACTGCAACTTGAGACCATTGCTCCTTGTTCTGTCATCTGCCACCACTGAGAACAGCCAAGCTCCATCCTCTTTGGAACCCCCCTTCAGGTAGTTGAAGGCTGCTATCAAAGTTTTACTTTAATAGTATTACTATTAAAAGTTCTACATGGTGAGCAAAAAGCGGTGCTGTAGCAAAAGTCTGTTGTACATGTCTCTTTTAGATTCTGACCATTCCGTGACCTACCTGAGTGCATCACTGTAGTTCTGGACCAACAGAGACATTTCTTTCTGGACATGAGCTAGATGGGGAGTCATGTCCTCTGTGAATGTTATACTCAAAAAATGTCCCTGTGGTCAGTGAACCCTGGAACTGTGGGGTGTATGTCTCTCTGTTGGCACAACAGTTGCCATACCAGTGTCACAACTGGGGGTTCATGTTCCATGTAAGTCTACTTCCCATTTTAAAAAATAATCAGTCTTTGCTTCTAGTCCTTGCAGGTGATGAACAGCTCCTCAGGGGTGATGAACACTCTCAATTCCCACTGACTTCACCAGGAGATGTGAGAGCTCAGCAGCCCTCAGGCAGTGCTACGATCCTGGCAAGGCTGAGCCCATTCATCTAACTACGAAAGGAAGTTTGAATTTCCTCTCCCCATGAAGAACTGAAACAATTTCAAATTTAAATCTGGATAGTTTACATACAATCTTGCTCTTTCCTTTTGTGAATCAAATGAGAGATGACTCAAAATACAACCAGAAATCAAAAGAAAGAAATGAATGTGTATGCTAGAGAGAAAGAGAGCCTTCCTGCGGTTTAAAAGTCTCATCATAGTGGTATCCTTCCTATGGTGCCATTTTACTGGTGATTTTCTTGTTTCATCAACATTCTCATGCCATTTCATAGATTCTTGTTAACTTCAGTCCATTTGTAGTATTTATATTGGAGATGTTCATCTCTTTGAATATTAGTGGCCACCCTTAAAACCTTGCAAATCTTGCCTTATTGCATGTAATCGCTGTTCAATAATAGAACATTCATGACTGATTTCTGAAGTGGAGCCCCAAAAGAAGGCTTAGTCACTGAAATGACTAACTGCCGGTGGATCTGAGAAAGGATTCCATTAAATACTCCTGTTACTCAGGAAGCTTCTCTTTGTACATCAGTAACAAACAAACACAAGGTTTTTGAAAGAGCGGCACACTGGAGACCCTGGCAGTTCTCCGAAGGAGGTTGGTTTGCCTGTGTCTCACAGGGCTGAAGTCTGAGAACTAGGGAGTTACAGCCTGTCTTGCACTAGGGAGCAAAGACCCAAGAGCAATATGGAACCTTTGGAGATAATCTAGTGTGCGTTCAAGTGGACTTTCTGTTGGTTTCTCAAAGAAGCTTTTGAGGCATTTAAGCAGGGGACTCTTTAGCTAAAAAGACCACAGAAGGGGATACGTGAACAACAGGCTGTGAAATACTGAAGATGAGGGTTTTAAGGCATGTTTTTCCTGAATAAAAATGCTAAGATGGGCAGAAATGAACTGAAACCACTTAAGATTTATGAAGTCTCTCTCTCTCTCTCTCCCTGTTAATTTTTTCTAATACTTGACCTTCTTGTTCAGTTATCTCACAGGCCAGTATTCCGATATCTACCTGTTTCTAACAATGACTTCTGTACAAAACTTTCAGTGTTTTTAAAAAATTGGTTGATTTTTAAAGTTGTGGCTATTGCAACATACACTACACTAAATTCCTGGGGAACCATGTCAGTCTGCAGAATCTCTAGTGCCTCCCCCTACTTCATCTCCCTGGAGTCCTATATAACCTTACTAGTTGGAACTGTAGGTAACCACCATCATGGGGAATATTTTCCTCCTACATTTTAGAATAGTATAATTTATAACATGATATTAAAACCAACATAAATTAGTAATTCAATCCCTATATTCCAATTTAATGAATTAGAGGCTTCATTGCATTATTGTTTTGTGCCACTGGACCAATCATTTGGTTTACAAACAGAATGTGTTTCTTTATTAATCAATAAATGCATATTAAATAAAGGTATCTTACGTAAAATTATGCTGATATCTCACAGGGACCCGAATGCAATTATTTAAAATATTATTTTCTTAGTTTATTCTCAACAAAATTAAATAAGAATATGAAATTTGTGTGTTCATTTTAAACTCCTTTTAAGAGGACAGGGATGCAGTTATTGCCTGGTGGCAACTGAGAAGCACTTATTAAGATAATTATTTTAGGATTACAGTTCTGGGCTTTATAAAACGTAGTTAAGGATAATTTTAGACATCTACTGAGTAACCCATAGTCAAAAAAGGGCATGACAAACAAATGGCACAATTATTGTATTTAGGTACTTGCAACACTCTTTCAGATAAGAAAGAAAAAGTGAAGGCAGGCTACTTGGGGCTGAATCAGCCCATAGTATTTATTTAACAGTTGTAAAAAAATAACTCATAACTAGAAGAATTCCACCACAAATAATTTCCAATCTCCGAAGAAGAAAAAAGAGCCAACCCCCAAGCCCACACATTTCAGGAGTGTTCCCTAAGCACATACAATTTTGATGTAATGTCCGAAACCCAAGTCTCCTACTCAGGGAACTACCTTTCAAATTAACCAAACCACTTATTAAAATAGTCAGAGTCAGTAGGGAGCCAAAAGATAGATTTTTTCATGACTTTTAACACGGTGCAAACTCAGTCCTTTATAACACCTCTAAAATTCTTTGCTAACCTTGTTGTTTCAGTATGCCCTTTCTCCAAAAAAAAATGGATTTTGGGTGAGTAGCTCACCTGTTTAAGAATTGTATCTTAATCTGCTGGTAAAATAAAAAACTGCCTACTGTAAACATACATATATTAGATGTGCATGCACACATTGGGAACAGGAAAACAGATCCCCTTCACAGTGTCATCTGAATTCACCTTTGACTAGCTGGCACTGTACTCAGAATGGGGAGCTTGCAGTCTAAAAGTAATACATGGATTTTTATTTCCTAACATGAGTTCTACTGAGTTTTTCTTCATCATCCTTCATTTGGTTTTACTATACTCTTGTAATTATATAATTAGCATCTTCAGCACCTATTTTTCCCTGGTCAGTGGTGTGAAATATAAATACAGATATGCATAAAGATATATACTTGGCAAGTGAAGCACAGCCATTTAAGAAAAAAATCTGAGTCACTGAGTAGTCCTACATTTGTAGCCCAGATGATGGCCTTGTACCTAGATGCACTGATATATCACCGTCAGAAGAACAGCTTTTCCTGGTGTGAGTCCATCACTTTAAAATTGTGGCAGACTCATTGGTACAATGAGCTCTTGCACTTGGGACCTGCATAAATACCATATGCTTTACTGTCAACCACCAAGGGATAGACATGTTTTGGCAGCCATAAACAGTCAGTAAGACACACTCCTTGCCTTACTGCCAGTTCTCAAATCTACATTTTAATACTTCAAAAGCAGCTGCACAGGGAATCAAATATAGCAGAAGAGCGTTTGAGGATCTTGTACAACATTACAGGACGTTGGAGATTATCACATAGGTCAACCGCATTGTTCAGCGAATAGCACTGTATAACTAGAGCCATAATTTAAATTGTGGGATTGTGGGTTTGAGGATTATTGGTCTGTAAGAGGCTACTCCCTCACACCTCACCAATCAAAGGAAGAAGAAAGGACAAAAAGTCTGAGAAACAAACTGATTCTGTTTCTATTTTGGGCAATTCCCAAAGTTTTAATCATTCCACTCTTGGCAGGCAAGGCAGCAGTCCTGTTTCCTCCATAACAAGGTCCAAATAAGCCATTCTAATTCCTCCTTGTGGGTCGGGAGAATATCAGAAGGGTTTTGATGTGATAAGGTCGAAAGGAACCTTCCCATTTAGGTTCAGATTCTGATACTCTTACTCACAGTGAATAGCACCTTACTCTATGAATAGCCCCATCAAAGTATAGATTAGACCTGGAGTAAAATGCTACTAATCCAGAGTCTGGGCCTCCAATATTTTCGAGAGTAATGTCTCTGCAGGGAATGATACAGATTCTCTATGTAGATGTACAATGTACTGACTCAGTAAGTAAGAAAAACAAATATTTTGTTGTCAAATTTCTTCCTGTTATAAATCAATATTAGACTTGTTTTATTTCAGGAAAGCCTAACCCTGGTCTATATAAAAGTTTCCCCCTAAAAATATACTCTACTGACATGCTTATTCCTGGAGGCCTGCTTAATTATCCCAAATGTAAAAGAAGATGGAAGAGCTCTGTTTGAATTGCCCTGATGCTGCCTCAGCAATTTCTGCTCCTGGCACATGCTAATTCAACAGCCACTGATCATTTGGAGTTAAAGTGCAAGCAGCCAGCTGAATAGGATGCAGTTCTTCTTATTCTTGTGTTGAATATCAGGGTCAGAGGTGAGTACCAGATAACACATAGCAGATGTAGGGAGAGTAGAAAGAATGTTGTTAACTTATGGTGACCACCTACATTTCAAGGAAATAGAAGGACGACTGTAGGAAAAAAAATATAAGGAAAGGTTATTTATAAAGGAACTGCATCATACAATATTTTTGATACAAAAATCATACAGAGTACAAAATCCTATACTGGTATCATAATGTAGGATCCATTACGTGAATACTGTAGAAATACATAACATCCACCCTATACTGACCTTATGTACCAAATATGGGACATCTTTAAAACACTAGCAACATGATCCCCCTATACTCACTACAAACTAGGGAGGAAAAGTTATGTTTCTTTTTACACTGTCCACATGTTCTATCGCAGCTTTGTCATGGAGCAGCAGAAAAGCAACCCTGTAAATGTGAGATGAAGAAAAAAGAGAATCTGATCTGAACTTGAAGAAGGATCTTCTGGACAATTATCTAGATAAATAAATGCAGACACATAATTCCTCTTGAGTAGCCACAAAACAGAGATTTGACATAGGAGAAGAGAATTTTATGAGAAGTCTTAGCTGCTTCATCCTGTTTTCTGACCCTGGGCTAGATCCTCAACCCTGCTCCAGCTGTGCAAAAGGGCCTTAGTTATCTCAAACAGGCAGTTGAGGATTCCTCCAATAAAGACATACAGAGTGGCAGTTTATGTGAGCACTCTAGCTGGCATAACTTGGAGCAGCCAAGTAACTACTCTAAATTTCTGAATTCTGTTTCAGATCCTGGCAGCCTCACAACTGGGAGAGAAGAGAGAAACCTTCCCTCAGTGGAGCTGATGATCAGGTCTTGTGCCTATATGTAGGTATTGCAAGAGACACGTGTGCAAAATGTAATTATTTTAGGTATTAGCAATAAGTAAACAACTTGCTGTACTTTCAGGGAACACAGAAACACAAACAATTTTAGATACAGCAGCCACTTAAAGCTCTTGCTTTTATTTTTCCTGCCAAGAGAAATTTGTTAAATATTCTGAAATTTTATAAGGAAGTTCATATAAGCTGTAAAGACAAAGAAGTCTTAAAGCACTCCTGATTATTTTGCTAGAGGATGGGAAAATGTAAACAAATCTTGATTGTAGGAACAAAGATGCCTAACTATCTCAGAACCAAGTGTATTTCTACCATTCTACAGGCATTTACTGTCTAAATAGATTAAAAAATAATTGTGCAAGTCACAATAAAACTTTTCTGACAAAACATGGGAAACTTTGTTGAAAATATCAATAAAAACGTTTTCCCATTTTCTTTTTACCAGAACTAGCAATTGTGTATACACAAACCATTCAGCTCAGAGTGCATAGTTTATCTGTGACACAATTACTGGTAGGTTTTTTTTTAGTAATGTATGTAGAAAAACCTTAAGGAAGGTTCTGCGTGAAAGAACATAGGTTAAAGAATAGGTGTAAGGAGGCAAGTTCCCCTAGAGTAAAAAGCAGAGAGTAAAAATTATTATATATAATGAATGAATGACTTGATGTCATCGACTAGTAGTTGCTGTCTTTTTTAGGATGAATTATTCCATTCATTTCTATGGAAATTTTGCTCTGGTATTGAGTATGCAATTCAACTTCTTGATTTGGTGAAGTAATAAGATGGGCAAGTAAATATCTGATACTCAAGTAGTATCAGATCGCTCCAACGTTGTTTGGAGGTGCTGATACCCTACTTTTAAAAGGCCTAGTTGCCTCATTTAGACAAGGAAGGAAAGGAAAATTTATACTGAGGGCCCAGTAGGCCTCAGAAATTCTGAACCTTCTATATAACATATATCACATCTCAAGTAACATTAAAAATCAACTCCCCTGATTCTTAGAAAGGGAGAAATATTCAAAATTATTTGCAATCTAAAGATGTCATTCTTTCTCACAATCAAAACAATCTGCAGAAACGACTCCTAGTCTATTGCTAAAGCTTGGCTGAAACAATCTAGCAAATAATTTCTCAGAACGTGAAAGGGAATGTATCCCCCTCAGTTAACTTTTGTGCTGCTGCCACTTTCCATTTTGGCAACCAAAGGAATGTTGTGGGCACCATATAAAGGCATCTATGGCAGCCTGTGGGTTAAAGTAGACATTTCTTATCTTTGACAGATGGTTAATTCATAGTCATTACTGCTAAATTCAATTGCTTAATAATTTAGATATGACAAACATGTGTGTAGTAATGTTTGCCAGGGCACCCTTCTAGGAATCCCAGGATGCAATAACCCCCTCAATGCTTTCACCATACATCCCCATGCTGAGTATGACAGATTGAAACAAATGCAGGCTTTCTGGATATTTTAACTCCCTAGCACCACTTTTGTTACATTAAAGAGTGGTTCTAGGGAGTTGTGTGTTCTGAAAAACACGAGGAGTCCGGTGACACCTTAAAGACTAACAGATTTATTTGGGCATAAGCTTCCGTCGGTAAAAAAAAAAACTTCTTCAGATGCAGATTTTTTCTTCAGATGGTTTTTTTACCCATGAAAGCTTATGCCCAAATAAATCTGTTAGTCTTTAAGGTGCCACCGAAATCCTCGTTGTTTTTGTGGATACAGACTAACACGGCTACCCTCTGATACTGGGTCATTCTGAGTTATTTTTGCAAGGGGTGCCTGAACTGCCTGGACTAGAAATAGCCATTTAGTCAGTAAACTTAATAAAAAGACCAAATTTTTACAATGGTCTCAACTTATCTTCCAGTTTCACAGCTGCACATATTAGCATTTAAGCCATCTGATTACCTAACTTGCAGACATAGAGCCGAATCCCCAACGGTGCTGAGCAGCAGCAGCTCCCATTGAAGTGATGCTCAGCACCTCTCAAGACCAGCCCATAATCAGGGAGGCAGATGTATTAGCATTTGCACCAACAACTAATTGCACTTGTAATTTTCAGCCTGCAATTAATTGTAGTTGCAAAGATGGAGCCAATTATATTGGCAGCCTTTTAAGTATCAGGCTCTTGATGTTAAAAAAATAACAGGCTATTCCGTGCCCACCCCCCACACCAAACCCAGTCCATTTTGTTTTATTTGTATTTATTTTATTTGAGGGGGAACAGAACACAAATATCTGGCAAGTATTTCTTTAACAGTTCATTTTTTTCTGCATTGCCTTCCTTCAACTAATACAGGCAACAGAACATCCCTCTTCCCCACTTTGGCACCAGAAAGCACCTTATAACAGGAGAACTGATCCAAAGCCCAATGAAGTCTAAAGACTCTCATTGACTTCAAAGGGCTTGGGTCAGACCCAAAGTCAACGTACTAACATTCTAGCACAACATACCAAGCCAAAACACTGGCTGAAATCCATGTAATTTATATGTTGTTGCTAGAGCTGTGCAAAACGTTCACACAACTCCAAAAGTCTGAAAACTGCTTGCTCTTTTGTTTCATTACAAATGAGAAACAGAGTCCAGGTTTGCGAAACATTTTGCCAAGGTTCACTAATTTATTGTGCTGACTTAGGCTAATTTATGGGCTTTGTATCAAAATATGCAAAATGTGTGGCTTTGACCACAAAAACCAGGTATAACACAATAGCTTTGGGTCTCCTTTCAAGACCTTAAGTTTATACATTTCCTGTACTTTTTTCCCCTCTATTTAACCCACACTTTGTCACTTTATGCCTCTCGGCGCAAAGCCCTGATATGTAATACTTTTAGAATGTAAGCTTTTTGAGACAGAGGTCTTGCCTTTGCTTTTTGGTTTGGTGCCTAGTTATACGCTATTGTCACGATAGAAAACAATTATACTAATACAATAAAGAACAATTATAATAAATGGGAAAAGTCACATGATGTTTTCCACTGTGGCTACTAGTCCTGCTCACAATTCTGGCAAGCCAGGAAGCCCTAAGTAAATATATGAAACCTAAACCTTACCTATTAGTTTGCAATTGTTTCAACCATGGGGAAAACTGAACCCAAACCCTTAATATGTTACGGGCTTGTAAACACATTAACCAGTTCTGACATAAAATATTCACCATATCTACTTCAAATTAAACAACAGTTGTGGAAACCCCTCCAAGTCAGCATCTCACTCTTATTGTGTAGTTCACAACATACAAAATCATAATGGCTTCAAACTGTTGCCACTTGGGATCTGATCTTACAAGGTGCTGTAAAGAATTGAACACCCTCAACTCCTACTGAAATTAATGGGAATTGAGGTACCCAGAACCTTATAGGATTTTCTCAGTATCTTGTGGGATTGGGTCCTTGGTCAGTAAGTGCTCTGACATCTGGAGGTTTTAAAATGACACCTCCTTTTCTCACCCTCAATTGAGGTTGTAACCATATGTTTGTAAAAGGTTTATAGAACACAAATAAAACCAATGGAAGCTCGTCATAACAAAACACCAACATATGGTAGATTGTCTTTCACTCTGCACAGTACAAGATGGAAGAGAATATTCTGCATTAGTTCCCTCACCTTTTGTATCCAGGTTAACACACACTTCTGGTGAGCAATCAGGTTTTTGCAGTCACAGAAGTGCAGCAGAGCGTCACAACCCATCTCGTCTCCTTCTCGACAGATAAAGCATTCTTTTGACTCTAATTAAAAAGATTAATAAAGTAAGAGAACACATCAGGTTTGCATCAATCATAGCCCATGTGGTTCTTATTATTGCAATTAAAAGTTATCTCCTCAAAATTGTTGGATGAAAGTGCCATTGTCTACAATTGAAAACACATTGAAGGGAGTTTTCCAACTTATTCTATTTTAAACAGTCAAATTTAAGGAACATTGTGGAGATAATGTGTTCAAAAGGGTCCTTAAAGGCAATCTATCAGGAAAAATACATTTCTGTCCCATGAAACTCCCTTATAAAGAATGTGCATTGTGCATCTTAGTGCTTTTTGTTTTAAAAAAGAATGAACATTTTGGACCTAATTTTTGAAGGTGCATCAAACGCAGCCTCTGATATTGAAGGGGTAATTTAGAGTTCAGTCCTGTAACGTGCTGAGGCCTTAAACTGACATCACTGGGAGTTGAGTGTCCAACACTTCTTAGGAGTGCTCAGCCCTTACCATGATCAAGCCTTTACTGTGCTTAAGTTTTTGCACCCAACCAGTCAAATCTTTAGCTGGTGAAAACTGGCTCTGTTGATGTCAGCAGAGTGTGGTCATTTACATCAGCAGAGAATTTGATCCTCAGTTTTTCACATCCAAGCTTTTGCACCCACAAAAACTTGGATTTGTGCATGCCTACTGTATTTGCAAGCATAAATGAACTATTTTTTGCACATGCAAAATCTTAGGTGTATAAATCCGTGCAATCCAAATGCACACAAAATTGCACCTGCCGTTTTAATTTAATTTTGGAAGTCTGGCTCTTTATGACTTTCTTCGAAGTAGGTTACAGTTTCAAATTCTGCTGCAAAGCATAGTTTTAATGACAGGATGATTAAATAAAGTATGCTAATATACGCTGATGGCTTTTTAAAGCTTTCTTTGTTCAAGCCAGCTTTTTTGTTTTTTTAAACTGCAGCTCTTCTATTTGGCAATGGATGCAACGGCTTCATGAAATTCTGCTAAAAAATATCCAAAATGCAAGTATACTTCCATACTCAGGCACTAGCTTCTGAAGTAGGTTTGCTTGCTGGTATTTAAATAAAGATTTTGAACACTGGGAAAGGGATCTCTTTTCCAGAAACAAAAGGGAACAAAACAATTCTTAATATGTAATGTATCACAAAGAAAAACTCCATTGGATATCACACAGGAAATATTTGGATTTTTGTGAAATGGGTGATAAAAGACCCCTGCCACCTCTATCTGCACTGAAAGCTGCTCATCATTTTGCCTTTTCTGGTTTCTGAAAAACAACTGTCCCTCACATCCCCTGTTGTTGCTCCATGGGCAGTGGGGCAAAGGATTTATGTGACAAAATGAAGATAATCAATGTCAATCTACTCAAACACCTTTTAGAAAAGTGCAGTAGACATTATGTTATACTACAGTGCTGGCATCTGAGGGTCGCAATTTTTGCTCAGATGTAAGCACCCAACTCTCACTGGCTTCCAAGATGTACACATTTGAGGGCAATTTGGCATTTAAAGAACAATCATTTGTGAAAAAAAGAAACATGAGAGAAATGCAGAATAAGCACCTATACCTACATGCAATAGGGAATGCATGGGGAAACTCAGACACAGTTAGCAAGCGGAACTTTCCTTGCAATGGCCACAATGAATATATGTGGTTTGCTCAAAAGCTTGTCTCTTTCACTAACTGAAGTTGTTCCAATAAATGATATTACCCACACACCTTGTCTCCACAATGAATAGATGTTTATCAAAGAAAATGTAGTGAAAAGCGAAGTCATGACACCTGATATCTGATAAAAAGCCTGTTTATGTCTAATACAGAGGATCAATTGTTCAACAACAGTTAAATGTGACCCATTTAATGCTGCAAGGTGTCCAACATCTATAGTACCGTGCTGAGTAAGTGCTGGTCATGCAAATTAAAGCTGCCTGGGAATATACAGTACTTTTGACTTGCACTTACAATTTTCTAAATTCTCAAAAACTTTTAGAGATGAGGATATATGTTACATTCTCACTGGAGCTAGTTCCTTCCCCTTTCTAGGGGCTAGTTCCTTCCCCTGCCACCCTTTGGAAAAGCATCTCCTCTCTGATCTTCCTGAATATTTGTGAGCTATATATCCATATCTAGGAAGGAAAAAACTAACTCTGTATTTATCCCTGGGTGTGAATTTAAACAAGAGTAGGAATGGGCAACCCAATTAAGAGAAAAATGCCTAAGTAGCCCAGGACTTGGCCATTGATCCTGAGGAAAAAAGGGGGAGTAAGAATTCCTTTTACACTCTGTGCAGGCCACCCGGACCCTTTTCTAGTCCTAAGTATTAGTATAGAACAACTATGGAATAGGCTTTCAAGAATTTATAGGTGATTTTAATTAGCTCTAAGTTAAAGTCTAGAGAGAGTCAAAGTTAATGTAATTTACCCCCCTAGTGTGCATTTTACTCAAATTTAAATACCTTCTAGATTCATATCTATTCATCAACATGCTCATACACCCCCCCGCAACTTGAATAAGGCACACAGAGTCCAAATTACACATCACCCCTGAATTTGGCACCCAGTACCTAATGAAAGTTTAACAAGTTAGGTGAGGATTACGGTCTAAAATGCAATGACTAAAAATATATATACAAAAATTAAGAGAAGTTATGCTGGTTTAGTTAGCATACCATGTACCTGTGTCTGAGTACAGATGCACACAAGGGCAGACAATGACCAGTTTTTTATAATTGTACAGATTTCAAAGAAGAGGGATATTGCTATATAAAGCAAGTCTCCCTAGCCTCCATTCTCCAAACAGCTCTCCAAAGATTAAACTATGCCTTTTCCTATCGCTGTTTTTAGCCAGAGCATCAATAATTAAACAGGCCATGGACAGGGCCCCAAAGCAAACATCACTGGGTTCTGGATGTGCTCCATGCTTTCTTCATGCAATCTTGCAAGATGTCTAAAGCCTGAGCTTCAGTCCTGACTGGATCTGCAATGGCCCATTAGAAACAATAGGGGGAATGTTCAGATTGGATGATGCATGCTACTTAGCTTTTATTCACTGGAACTGAGGCACAATATAATCTGAAGCTTCTACTGATTTCCCTTAGGCACTCAGACACTACATTGCTGAGCAACACAGGAAGCTATATGAATAAATGATAAATAAATTTCCCAGTGTCATGGCTACTAGAAGAAGTATACATTATGGAATTAACGTGGTGACATGTCTGGATATTATCGCCACACACTCCATACTAAAAAGTCCCTCATCTTTTCTTGACTTCCCACTATTTCCCTCCTTCTTCCTAAGAGCCAGTCTGAAAATCTGGCCCTTCATGGATTAAAAAATATATATATTACATCCAAACCACTAGCTACACATGGTAAGTGAACAGCTGTAGATGGGTTATATAGCTTCCAACCCAGAATGCCATTATGTATTTTGTAGTGGGGTGTATATGCAGTACGTTTAGTGACACTGTCTCACATTCTGGACCATCCACACATTTTATTTGTCAAATGGAGACATATACCAAATAAAAGATTCATTTGAATTAGGGGTAGATTTTTCCAATATTACCATGGAACATAAAAAGAAAATTGCTAGAAACCATTTGGTCACAGATCAGTGTTGCCATTATTTGTGCAGCTGGAAAAATGGATGTCTCGATATTCTTCCTATGCTTACCAAGGATCTAGCCAGCATATAACAGAAAAGCACATGCACACTTACTGCCACATCTCACCAAGTATGAATCCCCACCCTCCACAGCAAGAGGGTAATTGGAAGGAAATTGTTGCAACACACTTTCCAATGTCTTGCCTGTCAGAAAAAACGACCTCAACTGTTTATGCCAAATCATTGGCACAGCCAATAGTGCAATGGAGTTCAGTCTAGACACTGGAACTGCTAACACAATATGTTCTTGCCTAAGAATAATTTCATTAGTTACCAAGTGAAAAAGGAAGGTGTTTCAAGACATTTAGTATACAATTTTATCCATGTGTGTATATTATTTATTAAGCACCTGGATTACACCTGTCACACAAGACAAATAAAGGGCTCCCACTAATAATGTATTCCATGTATTACACACACATACAGAACAGTATTTGTTAAGCATGGCTATTGCACTGTACAAGACAATCCCTGCTAATAACATTCTCTGTATGTTTGTGTACATATACAGAACAAGACAAATACAGTTACAATCTAAGAAACAGGCAAAAAATTAGACAAACATACACTGGGAGATGCAGAGGATAGCAATAACTTAGAACATTAGTTATTATTAGTATTAATAGTTATGGAGTGGGAATAAAGTTGATGGGAGTTAGTTAGTGCTTTTGAGCCACACAGAAGTGGGTTTCTCATAAATATCATAAAAACTACATTGCAGCAGCGCTGAAGGGGTATCGCTTCCAAAGTGCTGTCAAGGTTTTATAGCCATGTCACTCCTAATGGGCCGGATCCTCAGCTCATGAAAATCAGCAGCGTTTTATTTACTTTAATGGTGCAGCACTGATTTACACCAGCTGAGAATATGGCCCAATGACTCTAATGGGACTCATGTGGCTAAAGCCTTCACAGAACAATTTAATGATATATAAAACGAACTGACAAGCCAAGAACTTCAGAATTAAGGCTGCTATTCCATCCATATTTCACCCCATGGTGCATAAGCGTATTGCTGTAATGGTCTTGATATCATACAACCTGAATACTGAAATAAAGTCAAGTCCTTACTCAGGAAAACCTCCCATTGACACCAGGGAGACCCCTACTGAATTCAAAAAGTGTTTGTATGAAAAGGAATGTAGGACAGGGCCTAGTAATTGGGCCTGATACCATAATTTATTGACTGTTGCCAATTTAAATCGGTTCCCAGATTATAGTTCTCAACCTGCAATGGTTCCGGTTTGGGTCATGGGCTGTGTCTGAAATTAGATGAGGATCTAAACTGCAAAGTTTGGATCTGGATGCAAATTTCCCTAAATGTGATGATGTTGATG